ATTATTACTACAACTTGACCGCCTGCACTTGGGTGTACACATTTCGGATCAAGTCAAGTTTTTGGCGCCGTTGTTGGGGAACCATAAAAGGTGTTTTACGGTAAAAGGTAAAAAAACCTCATTTCATGTGTATAAATTTGTTTTACTGTATATGAAGTTATTTTAATTACTTTTATGTTTGAAAACACACCTCACTATCAAAATTTGCCAGCTGAATCTTTTGGGTGTATGAATCAATCTGAACCACTTTCACCTAGATCAGTAGCAGACTATTGTGATAGTAAAATGGCAAATGGTGAGAGACAAGAGGAAATTCCTATAAGAGAGGGGGAAGTACCTAACATATGAACTCTGAGGGATTACTTAAATCCCATAAGGAATAGTGTCCCCTCTTGTTTTGTCTTTCCTGAAGATGCACCCCTCTTTACTATAAAGACGGGGACAGTTCAACTACTCCCTCAGTTTTATGGACTCGAAACAGAAAATTCATATATGCATATAAAAGATTTTGAGGAAGTATGTGGAACTTTTCAAGACAATTCTGAACTGGCCAAGATGAAACTTTTCCCTTTTTCCTTAAGGGACAAAGCTAAACAATGACTAAATTCTTTAAAAGCTCTTTCAATACCTGACTGGCGGGCATTACAAAATGAATTTTTCAGAAAGTTTTTTCCTTTACACCGCACTAATGCATTGGAAAGACAAATCATGAATCTTTTGGTCAAAGAAGGAGAAACCTTTTACCAAAGTTGGGAGAGATTCAAGGATCTACTCCTCTCTTGCCCACACCATGCTTTTGAGAATTGGAGATGGGTAGGATTTTTCTATGACCCCTTGCCCACTAGAGTACGTCAGTTTGTTGAAACGATGGCTCAAGAGCCTTCTTGACAGAACATGTTAGTGCCTTGCTTCAACACAAAACCCCTCCAAAATGCAAAGATCCAGGGTGTCCAACTGTGTCGTGTGTCATTGGAAATTTCAAAATTGAACAAGCACTGCTAGACGTTGGAGGAAGTGTCAATTTGCTCCCATTCTCTATTTACCAGTAATTGGGTCTGGGAGAACTCAAACCCATAACTGTCACACTTCAGTTGGCAAACAGATCTGTCAAAATTCCTAGGGGTATTGTTGAAGATGTACTAGTCCAAGTGGACAACTTTTTATTCCTTGTTGACTTCATCGTCTTAGATACTTAGCCAGCAAAACATTTAGAGAATCCAATTCTCATTATTCTTGGTCGACCCTTCCTAGGAACTTCAAATGCACTAATCAATTGCAGGAATAGGGTCATGAAATTAACCTTTGGAAATATGACGCTTGAGCTGAATATTTTCAATGTTGCCAAACACCCAGGAGAGGACAGAGAAGAAAGAGAAATAAATTTCATTGAGTCTTTGGTCCAGGACCATCTGAATAAAATATTTTGTGAAAATTCCACTTAACTTTCTTTGTTAGAGTCCATCACATCTGAAACAATAGATGATGGTCTAAAGAATTGCCCAACTCATTCTGTTAATACATGGGCCCCCAAATTCGAGGAACATTCACAAGTGGCATAAAGCCACTCTCATTAAGTGACAAGCCACCAAAGCCTGAATTGAAACCTCTCCCATCTGACCTCAAATACACATTCTTAGGAGAGGACGTGTCATTCCCAGTGGTAATTTCGTCTAATCTAATGGACTTGCAAAAGTCTAAACTGATTGAAGTTCTTAAAAGCCACAAAAGCACCATTGGGTGGACCATCGCTGACTTGAATGGTATAAGCTCGTTAATCTGCAATCATGCCATATTCCTTGAAGAGGACTCAAAACCCTCTCGTCAAATACAGCGACGAATGAACCCTCACATGAAGGAAGTTGTAAAGGCAGAGGTGCTAAAGCTATTAGATGCCAGGATAATCTTCCCCATCTCCAATAGCAAATGGATTAGTCCAACCAAAGTTGTGCCTAAAAAGTCTAGAGTCACAGTGGTAAAAAATGATGCAAATGAACTAGTACCCACTCGAATCGTCACAGGATAGCAGATGTGTATTGACTATAGAAAACTCAATTTGGTGACTAGAAAAGACCGCTTTCCTCTTCTCTTTCTTGATCAGGTTCTAGAGAGAATTACATGTCATGAATTTTACTGTTTCCCGGATGGGTATTCCAGATACAATCAAATTGAGATAACACTCAATGATCAAGAGAAAACCACATTCACATGCCCTTTTGGCACCTTGGCATTCAACAGGATGCCTTTCGGGCTGTGCAATGCTCCTGCAACATTTCGAAGATGGATGTTGAGTCTATTCATGGTCGAGAAATTTTTGGGAGTGTTCATGGATGACTTCTCTATGTATGGTGACTCATTTGATTTGTGTCTGGCCAACCTAGAAAATGTGTTTATAAGATGTCAAGAAGCCAATCTGGTGCTTAATTGGGAAAAATACCATTTTATGATAACACAAGGCATTGTCTTAAGTCACATTATGTCGTCTGAGGGCATGAAAGTTGACAAGGTGAAACTAGATATGATTGGGAATTTGCCTGCTCCTAAGACTGTAAAAAGATGTCCGATCATTTATGGGACATGCAGGGTTTTACAATTGATTCATAAAAGCTTTCAGTACCACAGCTAAACCCGTGTGTCATATCCTAAGTCAGAACGTAATCTTTGACTGGATTGAAACATTCCAAAAAGCTTTTGATAAGCTTTAAGGCATGTTAATTTATGCCTTATTAATGCAACCTCCTGACTGGACTCTAACCTTTGAACTAATGTGTGATGCAAGTGATTACGCCGTAGGTGTTGTATTGGGACAAACGAAGGATAAGAAACCACATGTCATTTACTATGCAAGTAAAACTTTGAATGATGCTCAAATGAATTATTCAACAACTGGAAAAGAATTGCTTGTAGTAGTTTATGCTTTGAAAAAATTTTGTTCTTATCTTGTTGGCTCTACTATTACTGTATTCACTGACCATGCAGCACTGAAATTTCTGCTCACAAAAAAGGATGCTAAATCAAGGCTCTTGCGATAGATACTCTTACTTCAAGAGTTTGACTTGGTCATTAAAGACAAAAAAGGTGTTGAGAATGTGGTGGCGGACCATCTATTTAGGTTAACTTACAAATTTCACGAGGATGGAATGTCAATCAATGAAAAATTCCCTGATCAACAACTGTTCATAATTGATGAGATCCCATGGTACACTGATATTGCTAATTTTATTGCTACTAGAACACTCCATCCATCTTTTTTCCGCATGGACAAAAAGAAATTTTTGAAAGAGGTTTGCAATTTCTTTTGGGAAGATCCATACGTATTTAAGTATTGTAAGGATCAAATCATAAGATGTTGCATCCCCCGCTCAGGAAAGGAAACAGGTAATAGCATTTTGTCATTCTGAAGCATGTGGTGACCATTTTTCATCTAGAAAAACCACTGCAAAAATCCTGGATTGCGGATTTTATTGGCCCACACTTTTCAAAGTTGTCCATGCTTTTGGTTTAACTTGTGATAGATGTCAAAGGGTGGAAAATATTTCAAGAAGAGACATGATGCCTCTAAACCCCATTCTGATAATTAAAATTTTTGACTGTTAGGGCATCGATTTTATGGGACCATTTTTCCTTCCTTTGACTATCTATACATTTTGGTAGCCGTAGACTATGTATCCAAATGGGTTGAGGCAATTCCATGTCGGAATAATGATCATCAAACGGTGACCAAGTTTTTAAAAGAAAATATTTTATCCCAATTTGGAATCCCAAAATCCATCATAAGTGATGGAGGTACACACTTTTGTAATCGACCTTTCTGGAATCTAATGAAAAAATACTTGATTTTTCACCAAATTGCAACTCCATACCATCCACAAACTAGTGGACAGGCTGAATTAGCTAATCGGGAGATCAAATGAATTTTAAAAAAATGGTAAATCCAAACCGCAAAGATTGGTCGTCAAGACTAACTGATGCACTCTAGCATATTGTACTGATGATGCACAAATTAGTTTGCACACCACTAGTCAAGTTGTAGTATAAAATGCAGTAAGTAGAAGAAGAGAGAAGACAGAATTTATAGTGGTTCGGTCAATGTGACCTACGTCTACTTTGAATGGCAAGGGTCACCGAAATTTAATTATCTCTGGTGTGAAAATAGAGCATAATGTTACAAGATTTGAGAGAGGAGGAGAGAGTTATGCTCAAATGAGTGAGATGCCCCCCAAGTGTTAGAGGGGCTTACATTTTATAGTAGATTGGTGTAGTAATTGAATTGTTAGTCTGACGGTCATTATGGCTTAGGATTTTTTTATAGTAATTAGGGTGACCTATCATCTTCTCAACGGGCGAGGTGTGATGGTTGGTGTGCTGTCCAAAGGACTTTATCAAGGATGAAGGAGGTTGATTGAGGCTCTTGGATGACCTTACTCCAAGGTGCTAGAGGAGGCTCTTAGATGACCGTGCATGCTCCCCTGCTGATGTAGCTCCCTGATCTTGATAAGGTTATTTCGACGTAGACCCCTTTAGGCTTGACTAGATGGATCTCTTGGAATTGGGCCTTTAGCTCGGACCAAGCTTATAACATGAATGACGCCCTTGGACCTGACCCATCATTTGCCCCTCAATGCTCTGCGTTCAAGGAACTTAGAAAGGAGGGCATTTGGTTGAGTTTGAATTTTTGGGAGGCTAAAAACTTTGGGAGGCTAAAACATATACTTCCAAGCCTTTTTTGGGATGTTTTCATCATTGTTCATTGCCATTGGTGGTGACTTTTGTAAAGCTCTTCGAGAGCTTCGATTTGACATATTATGGGCCGCATTTGGAGTTACGGATCAAAATAGTGTACACACCCTTTTAAATCCGATTTTTTTTTTTAGGAAACCCTAGGTTATAAATAAAATCCTCTCATTAATTCTATTCATTCTTGAGAGAGAAGGTTCTTTTGTGAGATTTTTTGAGACCTAAGGTTTGGGATTCTTGAGTTTGAATACTGAGTTCTTCGATCAATGGTGATTGGAGAGGTGGAGATGCAATCATCCATTATCATTGAAGAAGAAGCAGGCAGTGACCTGGCAGTCCATATCGAAACTGCTGTGCCAAGAAGTACTTCTCGGGCTTTCATGGGTCAAGAAGATATTGATGGGGTGAACCAAGGAGGCAAGGCATCTAAGAGGTATGATGGGCGAGGGAGCCATTTAGGCGAGCTGGTCCCATTTGGGCTAGCTGACCAATCTATTGAACCGCTATCCTGCGTGGTGGGGGCGAGTAGAGGGGACTTGGGCGAGCAGGTCAAGGAAAGGAGAGTTGTGTAGGCACCCATAGGCACTGATCTAAACAACCTGGGCGAGTTGTCTGGGTGCGGGAACAGCCTGGGCGAGCTGCCTGGGCGCACGAACAACAGGATTGGCACCTCTGAAGCACGGGATCAGTTGGGCGAGTCATTCCAATTGGACAAACAGGCTATTTTCGGGCGCTGATGGTGGTGTAGGCGAGCGAAAAGGTGGGCAAGCTTGGTGATGTGGACAAGGGCGAGTAGCCTAAGCGCTCCAGTCCGCTGGGCGAGCCTGAGGGGGTATCACAGGCTGTCTTGGGGGCCACTTTAGGCACTGTTTTGAGCATCAATTTGAGCTCCAGCGTAGGCACTGAAGAACAAGTCTTTCACGAGCAGGAGAACTCCTCTTTGGGCGCCTGTTTGGGAAGCTTGTTTGGTGAGGAAACTGCTTCGGGTGAACTAGGGACTAAGAAGCAGCTTGCAGTGGACACTTTTGGTGGTGGGAGTCTAGCTCCTCCAAATGTAACTTCTCAAAATCAAATTCCTCGAGACCTTTCTAGCAGCGGCTCGGGCAGAGCTTTATGCCCTCACGCCAAGAAGCATCGAGGCAAGGTAATCCTCGTTGACGATGGGTCAAAAGTAAGTACTATCTCCAGCACTTTAAATTCAGACGATGATATTTTACAGATTGTTTCCACCTATCACATTCCTCCAACTGTGCTGTGCCATCGAGCTGAGATGGGTGAGCCTACATCTAACGACTCTTCTAGTGACATTGCCATTTATGAGGAGATGCTGGAGGCTAGGCTTAGGTTCCCCATGTCTCATTCTATTTGTAGCATTCTCGAGTACTTTTCCCTCCCCCCGGGGCAATTGTCACCCAATGGATAGAGGGTTTTGTTATGCTTTCTAGTGTTGTGGATGAAAGTGCATCATAAGGATGCTTCTCCGAAGGAGTTTCATGGAGCTTATTCCTTGAGTGAGACCCCTACTCCCAATTGGGGTTGGTATTACTTTACCACGAAAGAGAAATTGATCACTGCATTGAAGTCCAACTGTCATAGCTAGAAATCTTGTTTTTTATTTGTTGGTGGAGAGTGGGCTACAGAAGCGGATAGGACTTTGATACCGAGTGAATGGAGTGACCCTACAAAACTTGGTATGCCACACACTTACTTTCTCTCTTTTATCTTGTTTTTTTTTTTTTACTCTTCATTCCTCTTGCGGATCCCCCTGTGCTTTCCCCGAACCAAGAGTGGAAGCTGGAGCCAGTGAGAGCTTATCCTGAAAAAGACTTTGGAGTCCTTATGTCCAAAGATGATGATGCTACCCCGAAGTCCAGTGGCTCTTCTTCGAAGAGGAAAAGTGAGTTAGTTCCTTTGCAGCTTTCTCTTTTACTTGGTGTTTTCCATCTAGGTAACACTTTATTTGCTTCGTAGCTATAGACAGGAAGAAGCTTGGGTCTCGCCTCTCTGATAGGAGTTCTCCTCCTTCCAAGGTGGCGAAGAAGACTTCCAAGTTGATGACCCGCGGCGCCTTCCAAGTGACCTTGCCGCCCGAGGCGTGCTCTTCTCAACCACCTCCTCAAGTGGCACCTCGAGCACCTTCCCATAAAGTGGCTCCTCCAAAGGTGCCTCCTTAGGCAAAGACTCCCTCATTTAGACCTTCCACTATAGAGTCTCGTTTGTTGGCCACACCATTTGCCCTTCGTTCAGCCACCCCTCCTATAGGGAACCTGGTAGAGTACCTTCCCAGATCTACTCTATGTTAGGTAATGCACTGGTCATCAAGGATCATCTTGGGTTGTTTTTGTGCCAGAAGGATGTGGATGAGATTGGAGCCTTGGGTATGGAGGGAATTCTTAGCTCTTTCCTAGAAGATTGGGCTTAGGTAAGAGTTTATTTTCTCTCATTTCTCCCTTCCGTAAGTGTCTGACCTTCATTTGCCTTTTGTTTTTCTCCAGGTTTCATCAGCATCTATGTGTTTACTTTCAAGGACCTTTCTTTATCACAAGCTGAAGCATGATCATGAAGTTGTGCAAAATGATCTTCGTGCTGCTCAAGAGAGGATAGCCAAGCTTGAACGTGCTGGCAGGATTTATGACATTGACCTTGTGGCATCCCAAAAGAGGGTAATTGGACTTGAGGCTGAGCTTTTGGCAATCCATGGAAGGATGGCCAGACTCGAGGCTGAGCTTGCTAAGGTCTGTGAGAGGGCCACGCTTAGTGAAGTTGAGCTTTTGGCGACCACGCTCAAGACTGAGCTTGTGGAGGTCCGTGAAAGGGCCACGCTCAGTGAGGCTAAGCTTTCGGCAGCCCATGGGAGGGCAGTCACACTCGAGACTGAGCTTGTGGAGGTCCGTGAGAAGGCCACGCTCAGTGAGGCTGAGCTTGCAAAGACTCGCGAGAAGGTCATGCTCAGAGAGGCTGCCCTTGAGGCAGAGGTGAAGATTGCTCAAGAAAGAGCTTCTTGGGCTGAGGCGAACCTGGAGAATGGCATTCTAGATGCTTTCATTGATGGTTATGAGGAGCTCCGGGGAAAGATTTCTGCTGCCTTCCCCGACATTGATGTCTCAGGCTTCTTGCCAATTGAGGCACCTGAGGATAGTGCTGGGAGCTCTGATGGTGTCGAGTTTGATGATGATGAGGAGGTGGAGGATGATGACCATGAGAGTAGTTAGAGTGCTAGAGACTTTTTGATTTTAATTTGTCTTTAGGAAATCATTTTGTGGTCCAATTTTTGTAAAAGTGGTTTTTGCCACTGATGCTACTTTGAAGCTGAGAAGTTGAATATGAAAATGTAAATGTGTTTTTTTTTTTCTGAAGTAAACCTCTAAAATTTTATTCATTTTTAAAGCAATATCAGGTAATAGCCCCACAAAAGAGTACAAAAAATAATAAAACCAAGTCTCTAACTAACTTTTCTACTTTCTACTCTCAATGTATCATTGGTAGTACCTCTTCATGTGCTCCACATTCCATGGATGGGGTAAGAGCTTTCCCTCAGAATTCTGGATCTTGTAAGTGCCTGGCCTCACCACCTCTGTTATGAGGTAGGGTCCTTCCCAATTCGGTCCTAGTTTTCCTTAACGTGAATCCTTTGTGGAGAGGATCCCTTTCTTGAGGACCCAGTCTCCTGGCTGAAAGGAACGAGACTTCACCCTCGAGTTGTAGTACTTTGCCATATGGCGCTTATACTTTTCGTTGCGGACCACAGCCATCTCCATTGCCTCCTCTACCAAGTCGAGGTTGATGTGGAGTCTTTCCTCATTGGTGTCGGGGTCATGGTGTTGGACCTGTAGAGAATGTACCCCAATTTCCAGAGGGATAACTGCCTCAGTTCCAAAGGCGAGGGAGAAGGGAGTTTCTTCAGTTGGAGCTCTTAGTGTGGTGCGGTAGGCCCATAATACCCTTGGGAGCTCGTCAACCCAAAGACCCTTCCCCTTTTTGAGCCTTGTCTTTAGATTGCGCAACACCGTTCTTACCATGACTTCTGCTTGTCCGTTTGCCTACAAGTGCGCCGAGCTGGAATGAGGCTACTTTATCTGAAGGTCATAACAGAAGGAGTTCAAGAGCTTGTTGTCAAACTGCTTGGCGTTGTCACTTACAATGGCATGGGGTATCCCAAAGCGACAGACTAGGTTTTTCCAAATAAAATCTTTGACCCTTGCATCTGTTATTTTTGCTAAGGGTTCGGCCTCTGCCCATTTAGTGAAGTAGTCCACTGCTACCACCACGAACTTGCACTATCCTCTGCTAAGAGGAAAGGGGCCTAGGATGTCAATGCCCCATCTGGAGAAGGGCTACGGACTTGTGATGACCGTGAGTTCCTTTGATGGCTACCTGGGCACAGTGGCGAAACGCTGACATTTTTTGCACTTATTGGCGAATTCCTAGGCATCCCTCATCATATTAGGCCAGAAGTAGCCTTGTCTGAGAGCCTTGTGGGCGAGGGACCGCCCTCTTGAGTGATTTCCACAAACCCCTTCATGGATCTCCTGTATTGCATAATGAACTTCTTCAGGTGAGAGGCATCTCAGTAATGGAAATAAGTAACCTCTTTTGTACTGGGTGTCTTGTAGGATAGTAAACTTGGTGGCTCTCATCTTGAGCTTCTTAGCTTTTAGAGGGTCCTCTAGCAATGCGCCTTCTTGGAGGTATGCCCTTATCGGGGTCATCCAGTTTGACTCAGCAGATGCGCAATTGTCACTTTTGGCCTCCATATCTAACTTGCTTGGTCTGAACTGGTGACCAATAAATTTCGGTTCTCCTGTAAGGCCTCCAAGGATGAGGCGAGTCTGGCCAGTGCATCAGTAGCCATGTTGTCTTCTCTCGGGATGTGACAGATCTAGAAGTATTGGAACTTTGTGATTTTGCTTTTCACCATGTTGAGGTATTCTTGCATTCTGTTTCCTTTTGCTTCGAACTCGCCCTTCACTTGATTAACAATCAATTGAGAATCATTGTAAGTGGCTAGGTGTTGTGCCACCATTTCAGCTGTCAATCTTAATCCAGAGAGGAGGGCTTCATACTCCACCTCATTGTTGGAAGCAGTAAAGTGGAGCTTCATTGCATATTTGAGGGGAGTACCGTCGGGGCTGATCAAGATCAGGCCTGCTCCTCCTCCCTCCCTAGTTTAGGTGCCTAGGAGTGCCTGGGCCCCTGAGGAGCAAGGCTGGCCACCTAAGGGGGAGAGTTGGGTGCCTGGAAGAGCCTGAGCGTCAGACTAGGTACCAGGAGGGGCCTAGGCGCCAAGCCTTGACGCCTGGACACTTGTGCTATCCTGGGCGTTTGGTTTGGTTGCCTGATTATTCTCATTGAGTGTCTGAGTACGTTTACCGGTCTCTTTATCACTTCACGTGCCCAGGCTCTAAAGTGTGGAAAGCTCATTGGCCTCCTCCTCTATTGACGTAAGCTTAGCTATAAAGTCTGGCAATGCTTGTGCTTTGATGGCCGTCCTTGGCTGGTACAGAATGTCGAACTCCCCTAGTTCCACTGCCCACTTGAGGAGTCTCCCTGATACATCTGATTTTTCCAAGACTATTTTTAGAGGTTGATCTGTGATCACAACAACAGTGTGACTCTGGAAATAATGTCGAAGATGCCTAGCTGTTGTGACGAGGATGAGCGCTAGCTTCACCAGCCCTGAATATCTGATCTCTACTCCTCGGTAGGCCCTGCTCACATAATAGATAGGCTTTTATACTCCATTATTGTTCCTAACGAGGACGGAGCTTACTGCTGAGGGAGAAGTAGAGTGGTATA